AAGAGGATTTTTTAGATTCCGCCTATCTTACCTCCCAAAACTTTTCTCCCTCACAAAATTAGAAAGAGCAAAGAATAAAATAGCACAAAAAATAGCTTGGAGTCCTGAGTAAATGTACATTTAAATGTTTTTGTCAATTGCTTCTGATGAGGTATATCAGCATTGTGTCCCATTAATAAATCACACAAAAAAAACAATGTAATAATAGCTAACATGATTTAGTGCATCTTCTGTGTCAAGCACCTTACTAACGGCATTCCATGTATCGCCTGCTTTAACCCTCAAAGTAATTGGTTATGAGGTATGGACATGGTTATTCTCCCAAAACACAGACGTGGAGACTGAGTTTAGAGATGCTAAGTAATTTGCCAAATTAATACAGCCCGTGAGCGTCTGATGCAGGACTGGAAGCCATGGTTCTCCCTCATCCCCGTGTGCTAACGCTAACCATCTTCCTGCTCCTCTCCTTTTAGGCTAAGCCTCATCCGTTTGCTCTGACCAAGTTTTCCCTTTTGTGTGTGGGATCTTTGTGCTCCTCATGCCCACTCTTACCCCGCCCGCTTCCTTTTTCAGCTCGCCATGAAATGGAGGGTAGGGAGATCTGGGGGAGATAAGAGATCAACCGAAGGACTTGTATACATGCATATAAGTACAACCAATGGACACAAAACTCTGGGGAGGGAGGGTATGTATGAGAGGGGGGGAGGACAATGTGAAAATATGTACACAGATAATAATTTAACCAAAAAATAAAAAATAAATAAAATAAATAAATAAATAAATAAATAAATAAATATGAGATTCTTTAGAGAGAGCCAACCAACTGATCATGTCTCCCCCCCTCTCCACTCTAGGGTGGACCTGACCATAACTATACCAATGAGAAAATCAAGATTGTAGAGGGAATCTGCCTCCTGTCTGGGGACGATGCTGAGTGGGATGACCTGAAGCAACTGCGCAGCTCACGGGGGGGCCTTCTTCGTGATCACGTTTGCATGAAGACAGACACAGTGTCCATCCAGGCCAGCTCTGGCTCCCTGGATGACGCGGAGACGGAGCAGCTGTTGCAGGAGGAGCAGTCTGAGTGTAGCAGTGTCCACACCGCAGCCACTCCTGAAAGACGGGGCTCCCTGCCGGACACGGGCTGGAAACACAAACGCAAGCTCTCCTCCGAGAGCCAGGTCTAAGAGCCCATGTACCCCTCCCTCCCTGCCTGCTCCTTCTCTTTACGGGCATCCAGTCCTTGTGCTCACTTATACAACAGGCCCCCTTCCTATGTGCTTGTCCCCACTCCTCCTCATCCCACCCCATATCTGCTCCTGAGCCCTGCACAGGAGCTGCTTCTGAGTCCATAACTACACAAGAAGTGATGGCGCAAGAAATGATGGCACATCCAAGAATTTAGACCTGGACCTTACTGTGAACCTCGCTTCTTGCACTCCGTCCTGAGCCTCCCCAAAACAAGGCTCAGTAATGATTCCTCATCAGTACAGAGCTCCATCTCCCCTTCCTCTGGTGCCCTCAGTGCCTGACTATAAGAGCTCACGATATAAGACTGCACTCTTCCCCATCAGAGCTGGCCTGCCCGCTTCTCTGGCTCACCAAGGGCTGAGCAGGGGATCATGGGTAAAGAGAGAGATGAAGGATAGAGCCTGAGAGGAGGAGGAGGAGGAGTCAGCCCAGCTGGTTCTGGGCATCTGGGAAACCTCTAGCCTCAAGTGCATTGGTAATATGAAAAAGCTTTTAGGGGTGGTTGGGCCTGGGTGTCCTGTCCATTGCTGGCAATGGTTATTATTCTCAAAGAGTTGCTGTGTTTCAATTGGTGAGATCTGGGGGTGACGCAAGCTATTCCTCCTGGTAGAAAGCCTAGAGCCTTTCTACCTTCAGATGGACTGGGGGCCCCAGCATGGCAGCTGGCTAATATGAATTCCCTCCTGGTACCACCACTGGCCAATACCTCCCTAAGTCTCTGGCTCTAAGCAACCAGGTTGTGAACCGATGACTTGAGTGAATGTGGGGCCAGGAGGGCTGACTCTGCAGAATCTAAGAAGCACTTCCTAGACCAAACATAGCATATCACCCTAATGTCCTGCCAATCTCTCTCTCCTCATCCTTTGGGATTTTGAGCACAGAAATCCAAAACAACCTTTCAAATGAGGGCCAGAAGTGTTCATATAATAAGTGGTCAGGAAGAGCAATTGGGTTAGAGACTTGGGGCCGCCAGGGCCTAAAGGAAGTATCCATGAGATTGAACTTTCTGTGTTCTCTCTTAGGAGCTCAGGGATCTAAGTGGACAGAGAGCCTGTGGCTATGGGTGGTGAGGTTTCCATTCCAACTCTCTTCCCAGCTGAGTGGCTTACTTTCCAGGCTGAGATGCTTATTCATACAAAGAGCATGTGTCTCATGTCCGTATCCAGGGAGTTGAGACTCTTTCTGTCCTAAATTTACTATACCTAGTTCGTTTTCTCTCTCTCTCTCTCTCTCTCTCTCTCTCCCTGTCTCTCTCTCTCTCCCTCTCCCCTCTCCCCGTCTCTCCCACCCTCCATCCATCCCTCCCTAATTGACTTTTTCTGACCTAGCCTGTGGTGAGCAGGGCTAAAAAAAAAAAAAAAAAAAATTACAAGGACTAAAAAGGTAGAGAGAACCACTGATGAAGCCCTCTCAGCCCAGGGCAAATCCAGACCCCTTCCACCCAGGAATTAGAAATGACAGGAGAGGACAAGGGCTGAGAATGGAGGGGAGGGCTTCTATAGGAAGTTTCTTGATTTGAAACATCTCCTATGGTTATTGGTATTGAGAAGCCAGCTGTCAAATGCGAGTGAAAAAGGAAAGTAAGAGCAAACCTTTTCTGGTCAGTTCTAAGACTGCTTAAAACAGGTGCCACGCCTTTGGCCCTTCTCTCAGCAGGCAGCCCTAGGTCTAGGCCTACACAGGGCAGTCAGGCCAGGCCAAGAAGGCTTTTCCAGTCCACAGCTATGGAAAGGCAAGATGCCACTTCCAGGAGGAAAGGGGGATATTTCATGCTTGATGTGGAAGTAAAAGAAGGAGCACTTTGGGTCCTCAGATTCACAGTTGGGGACGGATGAAAGGGGGATCTTATTGCACTTGGGCTGTTCAGAATGTAGAAAGGACATATTTGAAGAAATATCTATTTGAGCACTGATTTACCATGTAAAAAGCAAAATTTCTCTGTCCTGAACTAATGGAAGTGATTGTCCCGCGCTCATGTGTAATGGTTTTAACGTTACTCACTGGAGAGATTGGACTTTCTGGAGTTATTTAACCACTATGTTCAGTATTTTAGGACTTTATGGTAATTTAATATAAATTTAGCTTTTCTTAATCACCTTGCCTGGCTTGGAGTCATCACTAATAACTGCACCTGCGGTCTGGCAGACCCATGCCAAGGGAAACCTGCTTGCAGATATCATCTCGAAGTCCTTTGGGGATACGGGGATGGTGAAGAGCAATAAAGGGTGTTAGGTTCCTGGCTGGAAGTTCAGCTCATCTTGAGAAAACAGGCCAAGACCAGACTTCATTGGCTTCTGAAATCCTTATTTCTTGTGGAGGAAGGATAGCAGATAGGTTTCATCATGAGTACCAACTCTGATTGGTTGGTAATGGCTGCCTGAGGTCCTGTCCAGATTCAGTGGGAAAAGTGTCATGATCTTTAGTGACATATTATTCAGGCACTGGGAAAAAAGTGTCATGGCATATATACCACATATATTCTATTTCAGTTCTAGGCCTATGAGAACCTCAGTGTCACAGAACTTGACTTTGCCTTGCAGTGATGGTCACTGGCAAGACTATCTGATGTAAGGAAAGTGCTGGAATGGGAACAAGGGGAGCGAATTCCAGTTCCAGATCCACCACTAACTCTATTTGATCTTAGTCAGGTTTCATAGTTATTCCGATAATGGATCGCACAAACACTAAGATATCATTTATTTTTCATTTTTAAAATATTTTATTGATTTTTAGAGAGAGAGGAAGGGAGAGGGATAAAGAGATAGAAACATTGATGAGAGAGGAACATCATCAAAAGGCTGCCTCCTGCATGCCCCCTACTGGGGATCCAGCCTGAACCCAGGCATGTGTCTTGACTAGGAATCAAGCTCTAACCTTTTAGTTCCTGGGTTGCCACCCAACCACTGAGCCAAACTAGCTGGGCCAGTTTATTTTTAAAAAGCTGTCTTATAGTTCACCCACTACATCTTAAGGCTAGAACAAGGAATTGGGGAGCCCTTCTCAGGTTCTCTCAGTGAAGACTGGGAATTATGAAAGTCTCAATGCTAGTTATAAAGTTTGATGTCAAGGCTCAATAGTTGATTTTCTAAACCATAAACCATGTATCCCATTCACTCATCTCATACTATGGGTCAAGCACAGCCCATGCCTGATCAGAGCTTCAAGTCTGACAACAGCAAAAAGGAAGGAAGAAAAAGAAAGACAAGAATATAAATTATAATATATAATTCTTCCAACTTGGTAAGGGATAGGTGTGCTAAAAACAAAAACAAAAAAACAAGTGTAATAGTTCAAGGACAACCATCCTCCCACTCCACCATTCTTTTTTTTTTTTTTTAATATATATTTTTGTTGAATTTTTACAGAGAGGAAGGGAGAGAGATAGAGAGATAGAGAGCTAGAAACGTCGATGAGAGAAACACTGACCAGCTGCCTCTTGCACACACCTTACCGGGGATGTACCCGCAACCAGTGTACATGCCCTTGACCGGAATCGAACCTGGGACCTTTCAGTTCACAGACCAACGCTCTACCACTGAGCCAAACCGGTTTCGGCTCCACCATTCTTTTTTGAAGAAAAAACAAAACATTCACACAAAGAGAAAAGAAACACATTTTAACCAATGAAATCTAGCCTAAAGCACAAGCTTCATATATCTGTAGGAAGTGTCCCCTCCCAAAACATCAGGGTTATAGGCCAGGCAATGAACAGTTGGAAACTCAGGAAGGACAGTTCAAATGGAAGAAGAAAATGGCATTGAATACACACCATTTTCTTGGAAAACTGAAGACATTTCTGGGAGAACAAAATTTGGTGGATGCATTTTCTATCTTGTGACATGTCAGCTAGTTTAATCAGGCATTCAGCACTGCATAGCCTTAGTGGCCCGCTAACCTTTGTCCTGTCAGTTCAGCAGGAGATGAGAAAGAACAGGGCTGGCCTAATGGCCCAGGTCTTGACAAGAACTTGGCCACTGGCAAATGAGAATTTTAGAAACAGTATCAAGGACCATCACCCCATTTCCAGGTGACAAAAATGCACTGGCTCTTAGTTTCCCTTCCTGACCAAATGAAAAAATTGAAACAGATGACTACTACCAAGGTTATTTCTAGCCTGAAACTTGTATTATGTTCGTTCCAGAGAATCTTGGACGAGAAGCAAAGGTTGGAAACACCTTGTCTGTTCTCTGGATATAAAACCTGAAACTGATTTATAGATGATGATGATGAGTCAAATTCTAACAAATTGGATTATATTTTTACAAACTAATTACATTCACAATACAGTCACTGCCCTTCTTTCTGTTATATGAACAAACGTGGGAGCTAAGATGGAAAGATCTCTGTGGCCCATGGAGAGGTCTCCATGAAATGAACCTTTCACTAAACCTAGGTTTGCAGAAAATAAAGTAATTGCTGCAGAGGAACTTAGAAAAAGCATGTACAAGAGCTAAGGGTACACAAGGTTCTAAGATGACATTCAAGGGCTTTAGTAAGCACAGTTATTCCCACTTTGGGCACTGATTTAAAGAATGTTTCTTAAGCCCTTTATTATGCTTAGGAGACAATCTATAACTTTGCCTTCATATGTGAAGATGACTCAACTAAACCATTTAATAGGATGTGTGTTTGGGGATGTGTCCCAGCCTTTGTTTTGAAACATTCCCTCACTCACCCATTTATTTTCTCTCCAGATCCTTCTCCCATTAACCAGCTGGCAGAGGCTCAGCATAGGGAACAAGAGTTTTATATCCAACCAAGGTTCCATCTCACAACTTTAGACTCCCTGACATGACGTGATGTTAAAACAGATCCAGGCAGCCTAATGAAGGGTCTGAATGTAAACTCCAGGCTGAAGTTAGCTCCAAGCTACACAGTGTGCTTACTTTATTCTCCAAGATACAAAAAGCCAAGAACTCACTTATCTTGCCCTTCTCAGTGTTTTTTCCCCCTGTAGCCCCCACACTCCCTCTAATGAGGTCCCTATCTCTCGCTTCTGCCTCCTTCCTCTTTGGTGGAGCTGGAGCTTCTGTGGTCAAAATTCTTGAAGAGCCTGTATTTGAGGGGGTTATGGAGAAATGGGCTGTGAAAAGAAAAGAAAAAAAAAACACACCAATTAAACAAACAGCATCTATTCAATGCAATCAGTGCAAGCTGGGATAGACCTGGTAATCTTGGAAGCAAGTTAAGCCACTACTACCTCCAGAAAATAATTCAGGAGGTACCTGGACTGAAAGCTGAAAGGAAGTTCATCATTGAAGCTACTCCTCTTAGTCTGGAAATATGGATCCGTGTCCCATCGTAGGGTGCAGAATGCAGTGTGTAGTTATGATAGAATGAGCACTATCCCAACCCTAGCAGGCTTTTCAGAAATACACAGCAATTATTCAGCAGCTACAATGTTTGGCATTTGTTTCCTGCTTCCAGTTGCAATGACGCAGTGTTCACTTAGATCTCTAATACCCAGTAGGGTTACACTGTCTTATTAATACTTTCCTTATGTAGAATTATTGAGAGGCCCCTGAAATAAAGTAGACACACATCTTGCCAATAAATACACAGATAAATGCTATTGGATGATAATCCTGAACTGCAAATGATAACTGGCCAAACATTTATTGAACATCTACTATGGGCAAGGTACTGTATTAGGTTCCTATAAGGCCCTACAGGATCTGCCACTCCTCACCCATTTTCTATCAGACCTCATTGCCTATCCTCCAAGTGCCAAGTATATACTCTGCTCCAGCTAACTACTCCAATATATTGGCCTCCTGTTTCTTAGACCGCCAGTTATGCTCCCAACTTATGATCATCACACAGCTGATCCTGTTGGCACTTTCTTCCTCTAGGTATACTCAGGGCTAACTCCTTCCCCTTCTTCAAGTTTTTGCTCAAATGTAATCTTCTCAATGAAACCGACTATGAACACCCTTTACAAAATCATAGTCTTTCCAACTCTACCTCCCAATCCCTTTTACCCTGTATTCTTTTCCCCTTGCACATATTGCCTAATAAGATACTATATATTTATGAATTGATTACCTATGTGTCCTCACTATAATGTGAGCTCCACAAGAGGAGAGATTTTTGTTGTTGTTGTTGTTGTTTCTATTTTACTCACTGATTATCCCAAGTGCCTAGCACAGTCCCTGCACACACTAAGTGCTCAATAAATATTTGTTGCATGAATGAGCGAAAAAAATTAATGAAGTCACATATATTGCCCACTGTCCAGTACGGCTTCACCTAAACCATGTAAAACAAAAAAAAGGACTTTGACATCTTGTTCTAAAAATCTCTGGGCCCCAGACTCCACATGAATTTTACTGAGCAAATCTGAGGTTACCTTCACTTTCTCCTTAAATGTAATCTTCCGTTTATTTCCAATAATATTTAAATAAAGTAAACATGCCAATGACCAATGATTGAAGAAGACTATTTCTATATATTCATAGCCGACTTCTCAAAGATTACTATGACTCTTTTTTTGCTCTGGTTCCTCTCTCCTTCCCCTACCTATGGATCTGTCATCTTCTCCCATTTTCATTCTCTCCACTGTCTCATCTGGTCTCATCCACTGCCACAATTTCATTTTTTCACTCTACAGAGGTGATTCCCAAATCTAGATCACTTGCGCCTAGGTCTCTTCTCCCAGCTTGCCTTCTATATTTTCTAGGGCTACTTAGATGATTCCATTTGAATGTCTCATTGGTACATAAAAGTAAACAGGTTTAAAAGTAAACTCCTTGTCTTCTCTTTGAGACTGGCTTCTCCTGACTTTCTACTTTCATTTGGGAAATCACTATCTCCCAGTCCCTACACTCAAATCCTGGCATATTCTGACTCATCTCCCTCACTGGGCCCCACCTCACCTTTGCACCTAATCTAGCTGGTTGCCAAGTCTTTCACTCTTTCTTGAATCTGTTCTCGTCATCTCTCCAGGGCTAGTACCTCATATCAGAATCCCAACTCTAAACCATTTTAAACAACCAAGTTAATTGGTTCTCATAAAGTGCAATTCTGATTGCTCAGAAACTTTCACTAGCTCCCCATTTCCTACTTAAAGTACAAATTCCTTACTCTAGTATTCAAGACCCTACAAGAATTGTTCCTTTCTTTTATTTTTTAAAATATATTTTTATTAACTTCAGAGAGGAAAGGAGAGGGAGAAAGAGCTAGAAACATCAATGATGAGAGAGAATCATCGATTGGCTGCCTTCTGCACACCCCCTCCTGGGGATCCCCGCATGTGCTCTTACAAGACTTGAACCTTGACCTCCAGGTTCATAGGTCAACGCTCAACCACTGAGCCATGCCTGCAGGGCTAAGTCTCTCATTTTTATAAATAACAGGAGTATGAGCTACTGTTCAAAGTTCTTCCCTAGACATTCAATTAGTTCTAGTAAATATTCACATTAAGCTTGTAAGGAAAAAATATAGTTATCCTGTTTTACAGATGAGGAAACTAAGTTCCAGGTGATTTCCTGACAAAAGTCGTTTACTCAGAGCTGATCCAAGGACGCCAGCATCATGCTCCATTCATTGCTCCTTCCACTATACCCCATCTGCTTCTCATTTCCCTCACGAACTCAACTGCACAAACATTTGTGTGAACGACATTACATTTTTTTTTAATCGCTAGATGTCAAATAAAACAAACATGCTGGCGGCTGGGGATGCACAGCTTTCCACACACACCTTTTTTGCGCTTCTTTGCCGGGTGATCGGCAGCTTTCGCTCCAGTGACCCTCCTTCTCTCCACGGGAGAAAGCAGCGAGAGTACCCCCCAGGAAACGCTGCTGCGCACGGCCTCTTTAAGGCTGCGGGCGGCGCGTGCCCACAGTCCCTTCAAATGGACCAATAGCAGAGCGATGGGCGGTCTGTCGAGAACCAATAAACATCGAGGACACTGCGGGGTGTGCGGCGGCCTAAGCGGTTTCAAACGGCTTAGAACAGGCCCCTCGGATCTGACCCGAAGGAGGTGAGTGGCCGGTGGTCCCGACCCACCCTCCCAGGCCCCCGGGTCCGGGCGTCGCGCGCGCGGAGGGTCGCTGAACCCTGGGGTGGGGTGTCTCCATGGACGCGCGCTCCGTCGCTCCACGAACCCGGCAGGTCTGACGCGGCGAATCGGGGCGGAGGCCCGAGACCCAGGGCTGGCAGGGCGGGGGGCGTGGGCGCTCCGGTGCGGCCCCAGGCCCGCGGCTGGGACGCGGGTTACCGGAGCGGAGCGCGCCGCGGAGAGATGCGGCGACAGCGTCCGGGGGATGCGCAAAGCGCCGGGCCCCGCGCCTGGCCGCGCCTGGCGGCTGAGGGTGTTCCGGGACTGGGGCGGGGGCCCTGCGAAACGGCCCTGCGATCGTGCCCATCGCGTAATTGTTAAATGAATGAATGAGTGAAGAAGAGCCTGCGAAGGCCTTGGTGGTTGCGAAGGGCCTGGACGCCTCCCGGCCTGACAAGGACAGCCTGTGCACCTGTGCTCCTACCGGCTTGCTGGGGTTTTAATTCTGATCATAGCGCTCAGTCCTTCCGCCTGCTCTCGCTCTCTCTCTCAAAGGGTGTCAGTAGAGTTCAGGTATCTTTCCAGCTCTGAAGGTTGGAGGGGGCGGGGGCGGGGGAGGGGAGGCAATACAATAGCCAGCAGTTTAGATTTTAAGCAGGCCTTGGTACTTTAAGGTGGGGGCTCGGTCAACTAGAGTCTTACTTTTTAGCTGCTAACAGTCTTTGGCTGTTGATATAGTTACCCTGCAATCGTGGTAATTGTCAGGCAGGATCTAAATGTATCCCATTTTGTATCTGGGATAGGAAATTATGAAAGTGGTGTCGCCAGGTGGCTACTGTGTTTTAGAAAACGTATTCGCGTTGATAAATCTCCCCCAAATAAGTTTTTTCTTTTTCTTTTTCCCATTCAACATCAATAGAGGGTGAAGTAGTTTTTGCAGAACTTGCCCCAAATTGATGCATGGCTCTAATTTAATTCTCATGGGAACCAAGGCATCAAATCTTGACCCAGAAAGTCTGCCTGTGTTATTTTATACATAATTATAGTAATTGAAAACTCATTTTTGGAGAGGTGAACGCCTCCTATCTCCATTTTCATCACCCTGAAAAGTCCTTCTTTGACCTGAGGAGCCAATAAATGAAGCTACCAATCTTTTGAAAATTTTAAGAAGTCTAAAAGATTTGGACTTTTCTTAAGTGACTGGACAAACTAATGTTTTTATAAAACGTGATGATGAGAAAAGCTGAAATTGCTTTATTTTGCCAATATAAATTAAACCTACTTGGTAAACTTATGAGAAAAAAATTATACAAGTATTTAAAGAATGTTCATTCAGGCAATGGCAAACAAAGATAGTCCATAACAATATACCTTATACTTTGTTACTTTTAAGGTTTTGATAATCAAGTAAGTTATGAACTTCTACACCTGACAGCTGAGTTTTAATTGCAATTTGAGTACCTTACTGTTATGAACACTGTTCTAGGTTTTGGGGAGGTAATTAAAAATAATATCTTTAACAATGCCTTAGGATATAGTTTAAATACCTTGATGGGGAATGAAAGCTTTTCTTTATATTGGAGTAAAGCCAGGTTCTTCATTTGACTTAATGGAATCTCATTGGTTCATTCAACAAATATTGAGATTAATGCCTAACGTGTGTTAAACATTGTTCTAGATTTTAGGAGTACACTAGTGAACCAGGAAAAGCCAGTAGCCTAAGGGAGTTTGACAGTTTTATCTCTCACACAATTTGCTTCTATAATACCTCTTGCCCAGGTCTGGTTCTTGAACAAAATAAATACTCAAATATTTTTGCTAGCAGTGGCTAACATTTACTGAAGAAATACTCATTGGATGCCACATTTTATTTTTAATTCTCATAACTTTTTACAGATGAGGAAAACTTTCTTAAAAAGATTTTGCAACTCGTTCAAGATCACACAGCAAGTAGAACTTGAATTTGAACCTCAGTTAATCTGTTTCCAGGGTCTTTGCTTTTAACTACCGTTGTACTATATGAAGTTATAGGATTTGTTAGGGAGAATTCAGGAGCAATTTCTGGGTAGGTCTTCCGTGTTAATACTTCTGTCAGAGACATGATGAAATATGGGGGATAAGCATGGTAGTTTTCAGGAAAGATGGAGCAGTTTAAAATACAATATTTACCATATTGGAGATGGATAGCTGTGACAGTGGGGGGAGTGCACTAAGAGGGAGCATAAAATCTAATGATCATTAATGGATTCCTGGTGGTCAGTATTGAAGAGTTTTGAGATTCTTATACGATTTTCATATTTTTACCTCTAAAGTTCAGAACATGTTACTTAGTTTATTCCAGTCAGGGCAGTTACCCTGTTTACTTGATGGATCTCAAACACATTAAGCTTATTCTTTTTGGCCTTTGAATTTGCTGTTTTCTTCCTGGAACTACCCCTATCTCAAACCAGTCTTTGTATACAGGCTCCAGTCAGATCTCAACTCAAATGTCATCTCTTTAAAGAGGCATTTTCTCAGCTCCCAATTAGACTAGCCTTCTTGATCACTTTTATCTTACTTTTCTTTTTTATTTACTTAGTTGCATTTATTGCTACCTGATAGGTCATTTATTGTTTGTTTGTATATTGTCTGATTTCCTTACAGAAATTAAAGCAAAGCGTAGATTCCCGTCCTATCCCCCTCCCCATCTGTAAGGCTACCTCGATGCCTCAAACAATGCTTGGAACAAAAAAAGGTGGTCAAAAATATTTATTGAACAAAATTGGCCAAAACCGTGATAGTCTTCTCTATGTGCTCAAGTGATAAAGAGAGTATATAACTAAAGCTGGCTGTGTTACCATGTCTTTGAATGTAAGCAATGTCTTAGCAGACAAATTTGGAAAGTCTTCAACTAAGGAAACTGGAAAAATGATTGTTTTAATGTTTGTACCTACTGAGAGGGAAAGTAGATCTGGCACTTTTATTTTTTTTCAATTTTAGAAACTTTCAAGTCTAGGGAAATTTTTAGGGGTACTGGTCAAGTACATTGTAGGATTTCCCTGGATTAGAATTTATCTGATATTTTCTCACACTTAGACTGGGGTATGGAAGAGAGAGGGAAAGATAGAGAGAAACACATCAATTGGTTGCCTCCTGCACAAATCTTGATCAGGGCCCAAGCCACAGAGGAGAGTGCAACTAAGGTACATACCCTTGACCAGAATCGAACCCAGAACCCTTTGGTCCTCAGGCCAACGCTCTATCCACTGAGCCAAACCAGCTAGGGTTAAAATTCATTCTTTATGTTGTAAATTACTAAAGGTTTCAACAAATGCATAATGTCATTTATCCACTATTAGAATATCATAAGGATAGTTTCACTGTCCTAAAAATTATCTGTACTTTACCATTTTCCTTTTCTTTCTCCCCTGTTTCAGGGCAACCACTGATGATTTATTGTTTCCATAGTTTTGTCCTTTCCAGAATGTCATATAATCGGGAGTATACAATATGTACTCTTTCAAACTGGCTTCTTTCACTTAGTAACATCTCTTTAAGGTTTTTCCATGTCTTTTTGTGGCTTGATAACTCATTCCTTTTTATTGCTGAACTAGAGGCATGATGCACGAAATGCATGCAAGAGTAGGCCTTCCTTCCCCTAGCTGCCGGCACCTGCTTCCCTCTGGCACCAGAAACTTAGGCTTCTGGCACAGCCTCAGGTCCCCTGGCCTGGTACTGGGACAGGAGGCGCGGCCTGAGAGTCCCCATCAAGCCCTGCAGGCGGGGAGTGTGATCTAAGGTTCCCCGGCCTGGTGCTGGGGTTGGGGGTACGGCCTGAGTTATCCCGACCCAGCACTGGGGGTGCACCTTAAGGTCCTCTGTCAAGCCCCACTGGATGGGGGTCACGGCCTGAGGTCCCCTGTCAAGCCCAGCCAGGCAAGGGGGTGCAACCTCAGGTCCCCCATCAAGACCCACTGGGCAGAGGGTGCCGTCTGGGATCCCCCGGCCTGGTGCTGGGGTGGGGGGAGCAGCCTGAGGTCACTTAGCCCAGCACCAGGATGGGAAGTGCACCTTGAGGTCCCCTGCCAGGTGGGGGGCAAGGCCTCAGGTCCCACAGCCTAACACCAGGGCAGAGGGCGTGGCCTGAAGTCACCTGTCAAGCACTGCCTGGTGGGGGAGGATGGCCTCAGGTCCCTGCTGATTGCTCATTAATGCTCCTTATAGGAACTTGGCCTCAGCTGTGGGTGCAGCTGTCTTTGTGATGGAGTGATGGTCAATTAGCATATTCCCTCTTTATTAGATAGGATAATAGTCCATTGTATGGATGTACCACAGTTTGTTTACCATTCACCTATGAGGAATATCTTGGGCACTTCTAATTTTTGACAGTTATGAAAAAGCTGCTGCACACATTTGTCTGCAGGTTTTTGTGTGCATATAAATTCCTAAGTGTGTGATTGCTATATCATATGGAGAGAGAGAGAGAGAGAGAGAGAGAGAGAGAGAGAGAGAGAGAGAGAGAGAGAGAGACATCAATGATGAGAAAGGACCATTGATCAGCTGCCTCCTACACACCCCACACTGGGGATTGAGTCTGCAACTTGGTCATGTGTCCTGACCAGAAATTGAACCCTAACCTCCCACTTCATAAATCCATGCTCAACCACTGTGCCACGTGGGGTGGGCTCTATGTTTTTCCACCTTTGTTTATATTAAGTCAAACATCAGTTTATACAATTCTCTCTAACTTCCAGAGGAAACTTATATCTTGAACATAATTCCTTTTTACTGAGATCTAACTTTTCCCCCCTGATAACACTTACCAGTAAGTGCCACAGAAAATATTGTTTTTTTCCATGTTGTTTATTCCTGGGATATGAGAGGCATTCAAAGCATAATTCTGACTTAGTTGAAACGGTCATTTTTGCATAGATATGATGTCAGATAAGCCATGATTTTTGTTATTTTATTGAGTTAAGAAATTACTTTTTTTGATAACTTGAATATATTTCTTAGAGGTTTGTTGGTAAAGTAACTTTTAGATTCTTTCTATAAAGGTTTAGGTTAATGAATAGCTTAACACACACACACACACACACACACACACACACACACACGTCAGATAGTGCTCATTTGTTTAGAGCATTATCTAATACAGCAAGGTTCCAGACACAGGTTGTGGGTTTGATCCAGGTTCAGGGCACATACAAGAATCAACCAGAGAATCATAAATGGATGGAACAGCAAATTGTTATTTCTCTCTCAGAAGCCACTACTTAACTCCCTGAAATATTACTAATCCAGTTTCTCCTTAAATTTTCTCAGGAATTCTTCATATTAAATTAGATGAATGAACAATTGTATTTGCATGCAAGGTATATATATTTTTAATTTCAGAGATAGGAAGGGGGAGAGAGAAGCATTGATCAGTTGCCCAATCGAACCCTCCCATCTTTTGGTGCACTGGAATGATGCTACAACCAACTGAGCCACACAGGCCAGAACCATGCAAGACTTTATAGACTTGTGAATTGCTGGCCAGTTTTTGAAAGAACACATTTTACTCACAAGAAGAGTGCTATTTTTCTATTTCTCCTGCTATTACCTTCCATGATATTTTATATCATTGTCTGGATTCCTCGGATTGTAGAGTAGGAAATCAGTGAAAGGGTGAGTGAAGCAGCACAGGGTTCCAGAAATCTTTCCTGAGCATTTGAGTTGCCATTTGAAGAACACTGACTGCGCAAGTTAATGAAGTAAGCAGATTTCATAATGGGGACTATATATTTATACATCCTGATGCTTTGGCTATCTTCTACAGTTTTTTTTTCACTCCTGAAGAGAGATAGGATATTGATACTAGGAACTGATCATCTTCTTTGTTTCTGGAACATTACTTGTGTTGCCACCGAAAAGGAGGTCTTCCCAATTGTGCAGGACGCCTCCTGGCTGGTCTTGAATTTGCCTCTCACCTTAGAAACCCTGTGGGCGAAGAGAGGCGGTCCCTTTAAGCAGTTAGCGTTTGCGGGGCGGGGCGGGGCGGGGCCGGGAGGGGGCGGACACTCTGACAGCCGCTCTGGGCCCCGCCCCTGGGGGAGGTGTTGCCCAGCGGGCCAGCCACACCAATGCAGCCGCCTGCCCGGTATTCCTGCTGATGCTGCTGAACATTAGGGCCCTGACCTCTCCCTGCTTGGGGAGCGTAAGAGTCAAACTGCGGTGAGGGTCTAGCATCCCTTGTCCATGCCGGAAGCCCTTGTGGGCACAACAGGGGACTTTTCTGGCCTATCAGAGGCTGGGACGGTGAAAGAGCGTAAACAATGCCAGCTTCAGTGAGCTAAAACCTGGGGCATCTGCTTTACTTCTGTGTGGCGACAGCGACCCTAGAGTGCTTGTTCGGATGTGCAGTGATTGAGTAGTCCCCACAACCTGGCTTTGCCTCCCCTGGTTCCTACTTAGAGTGAGGAGATGCTTTTACCCGAGTATAACTTTGTCGAGCTGGATGGGTACTACTGAATCCAGTGCCTTTGGGCCTTGGATCCTTACCCAGGATTTGGAGACCCGAGTAGCTTCAGGATGAGTAAGCGTTAGGTTTACACCTACCTTGGTACAATTGAGCAGTAATTCTCAAAGTTGACCCAATTCACAGCCAGGTTTAGATTTCAGCCTCCCCAGAGGCCTTTGTTGTTGTCAGGTCCACCTTTTGGAGACATTGACAGTGATCATCTGTTTAGGGAGAGTCCAGTTAGTAACTTTCTTTTCTGCTGATGCGTAGCACGGTGTGAAAGAGATAACACTTTACCCTTCCTTCTCTTTGAAGGAATTTATGGGAAGCCACCATCCCATGACTAGAACAGCAAGCACACCCAAGTTTGTTCAGAAAACCCGCTTAAGAGAAGCCATTTAGATTTCTGGCCCCTAATAATGCAGAATACTCCAGCAAGAGAATAATAGTTGTCCTTGTTAATGGGAATTACCTGGAGGCAGTGATGTTTTTTAAAGGAAAGTCTTGCTATTTTGTTACTGACTACTTAGAGATTTTGTTTGTCTTGGCCAAATAATAAAAAGCTTAAGTTTTTATGCCAGTTACATAATTGTTATGCTTCTTTAATGCAGTTATTTACT